TAACCCCGGCCGTCCAGTCCGTAAGCCGTCGCAATATTGACTGAGATAATTTCTGTTTACTTATTTATGGTTTATTGGGCGCCATTTTTCAGTAGCTCTGACTATATAGTGTCGAATGAATAATGAATTGGAAAGGATGTGGAAAGAAGCTGTCATAGTGTAGTTTGAGGTCCTGTACAGAAATTTATCTGGAGGGACTGAGGAAGGCAACAAATATATTAGTCAAAATTGCCGGCATGTAGGCAGAAATTTGAATCCGCGACCTTCGGAATAGGAAGCTGGATTACTAACCACTCGACAAAATGGTCTTCCCGTAAAAATACTGAAATAGTTCATATGAATACACACAGTGGCGGTTTCAGTTAATCTAGTTTGTGAATGAATAAATTCACATGGGACTCTGCGGTAGAAATTCGTGGGTTAATTCAGCATCATTCTTATACCTCTTCGTTAAGTTCATCAACGAGGTAACCTATTACACCGACCGTTACAGCCCTGCACTCCTGCTCTCTTGCTATCATAGTACTCTCCTGCACTCCTGCTCTCATGCTCTCCTGCATTCCTGCTCTCATGTCCTCATGCTCTCCTGCTCTCCTGCTCTCCAGTTTCGTGTTTTGGAGGTTTCATATTTTAATGGTCGTGTATCGTGAATAAAGTTTTGATGATTTTCTTCAAACCCATCCAGGCAAGTGTTAGGATAATAGAACATACCTCAATTAGACAACGACCGTTTTCTGTACAATCCATGCAATACATTATTCACTACTCATCCTACCATTCGACGCTGTATAGAGTCCGAGCTACTGGCGGCATCGCTAAACAAATAAGTCATAAAAATGAATAAGTGAAATTTATTGTTTTATGCAGTATGGCATTTGCATTGTTATGTAATTTGCAACAAAATGTCTGCATTTACAGCAGATCATCTTTTCGATCAAAGAAGAAAGAAACTTGTAGAAGAATGAATTTGAGAGATGCAATTACTTTAATTTGCACTTCGAACACTTCTTTGACGCGATGGTTATTGTCTTCATCCATCTTGTAGAATTATTCGAGTGCAGAGATGCCGCTTGGTGCCGTTTCTAAATTGACTCAACTTAAAATAAATTATAAATTATGGCACTTCATCAGTGCACCCAAATGTCGGCATTTGCACTAAGGTGTCTAAGGTTGAATTAATTGCAATCGGCGTATCAGAACTGATTTAGCAGGTTGGTTTTCTTTCGTGTTACCATAAACTTGTTCCTCGGTGTAACTATTAAGGTAAAATTTTAACTTTTTTAAGAGGCTTATCGAATCATGAATTGTTTTCACAGTCACCTCGTACAAAAATATAAGCAGTCCAGTGTGAAATACCAGAAATGGAAATATGATTTCATACTTGCGAGGTAATTAAAAATAAAAACCTGCAATATAATTTACTATGTTCTGAACACTTAATGCACCATTCTATCAACTGATTTTAAGAGCAACATTGAAATCGCTAATTAATTTCACCGTAATTCAGTCACACGGTTTGATTCTGTAAAAATACTTCCAAATTCTTATGAAATATTATTTTAATTATATATATTATATAATATACCGAATATATACGAGAATGCTCCTATTAATTACATCTTAGAGGAATATTTTAAAAATAAATTAATTTGTTTTTATATTTATATTTTAATTCTTGAATATATGTAGATTCGAATATTACTATAGTTAATTACTCGTCTCTTAGAGTTACCATGATGAAGGAAGTAATGTATATAGCTCCGCTGGTATGGCGGCTAGTCTGCGGGTTAGAAGAGCGAGAGATCAGGGTTCGATTCCCTACAGGATGAAGAGATTCTTCTCTCTTCCACAACATCCAGAACGGCCCTTGCACCGAGCCGGCCTTCAGTCTAATGTGTGTTCTGAGTTCTTTCTCAGCGAGCGGGCGGGAATCTAAACACTGACCACCATCTGATGCTGATATTAAAAGTGCATGGAGCTATAATTCCGCTCCCCCATACGCTTTCGTATGGGGTTACTCAATTGAGCACAGAAAGAACTGACTTGTATCTTAAAATAAATTAATTTCCTGGAATATATTTTATTACGTTGATATTTCCTTCCATATTTTCGCCATGTGTATAAAAAGTGAACATTCACAATCCATACTGTTATACATTATACCCCACATAAATTTATTATTCTATAGCCAACCGTTTATGCCGATCACAGTGGGCGCACGGTCTAAGGCACGAACTGGCTTCGCCCGCTCAAACGCTGGAATCTTGGGTTCGAATTCAATTTGAGGCATGGATGTATCTGTACATTTATTCTGTATGTGATGTCCTATGTGCAGGTAGCGGCCTTGCGACGAGCCGATCCCCCGTCCAAGGAATCCTACTGACCGTGTAAAAGATCAAGAAAGTGAAAAAGCGACCATGGCCCAATAAAGGGCTATAGAGCCATAGATAGATAGATAGATAAACATTTTTCTTACCTTGATGGACTGAATTTGTCTCTGGGTGTGACGTGCATGTTTGGATTCTTTGACTAGTAACATAACACAAGAAGAGACAGAGTTCAATTATACACTTCTGGAATTAATAAAAACTTAAAAGTCCTTCTATAACTTCTTTTCTATACTATTATTACAGCACTATCTTTTACCCCATGCTCTTTATTTGATGTTAAGTACGGCACTTTCCGTCCTGAAACGAAGTCCCGTCGCCTAAATATAAAGTGTATAGTAACAATAATTTAATATATGCGCGCCCTATATATCTAAGTCGAACGTGTGAACGTAACAGCAGTCCAGAAACACGTTTGTATGAGTCAGTGACACTGAATTTAAAATAGAACTGGATTCACGTATCTGCTACAGTTATAATGACATTACTTTTACTGAAGTCCGTGAACTTTAGACCAGCGGAGGGCTAGGAACAGTCTGGAGCGACGGAACACGCTGTTGACTTATGTCCACGGAGACATTCAACCGATATCCATATGCAAACACTGCACATCTAAACACTGGAAACTACGTTGGAAGAGACTACTGCATTAACACTGAGAAAATGGAGTTACAGAAAACAACATGTAAAAGTAAAAAATTGTCTTTGACTAAACCAATTCCGCTGATAAGAAAAATGGAGTCATAAAGTTGCAACGCTCACAGTTTTTTTACTACATATTTATATGAACGGGCACTTATCATGCAATTTAAAATAATTACGTTATTTAAATGAGAATACAATTTCATTGACTAGTGAAACATCGTCTTCTTATGTGAATTTGAGGTTATTATAGCGGTTGCTATGAAGCTCTCTATCGTATATGATATAACACTGTGTCAGCCGACTACACGACGTTGTATCCCACAAGATAGAAACCATTCTGTTACACTGTGATTGACAGGAATGTAAGAACATTGGGAAGAGAAACGGAGAAATGAAAAGTGAGGACGAGCCAATTTGGCTCAAATTTCAATATACAAATTTGTAACGTGATAATTTTTTTGTTCAGATTTCAAATTGACACTTTAGCATGAATGTACAATATTAGTCTTCTAGTTTGTTACTGATAGCAACGGGCTTTGGGCCGGATGGCTCGGGTTCGATTCCTGGCAGGGCCAACAAAGTTTTATCTACTCCACAGCGTTCAGGCCCGCTCTGGAGCCCACTCAACTTTCTAGTCAATGTGTACCGAGGACACTTGGCCGAGGTGCGAAGCTGATTACTGGCAGAAGTCTAGTGCCGAGGTCAAGAATAGTGGAGCTATATTCCCTCCCCCCATACGTCTTCATGGCATGGTGCTTAAATAATTAAACACAGGGGCAACTTCACTTAACTTATTCGTTGATTGGCGTCACAGGCCTGTAAATGTGTACACACTTGTTACTGGATCTCTCTTAAGCAAAAAAGTTTCAGTATTTAAAGACATTAAAATTTCAGTTTCATTGTCGCCAACAGAGAAGCTAGCCATTGGGACCCCATTTTGTGCCAGCTGAATCCAGACCATACTTGTCTCTTGTCTCCACGGTGCAGTCTCAAAACTGTCTTTTCCCTTGATATTTTTGATCAAATTTCTATAAAAACTTACCACTATTCCACGGGTGTTATGTGTCTCTCCTAACTCATTAGTCTTAAATTAGTCACCTTAACAGTAGTAGTTCTAGAAGTACGATGCCCCGCTATGTGTAACGTACAAGAATCCTATATTGTGTGAATTAGCTATGCACATACAAAAATGTTAATAAAATGTAATCAAATTGTGTTGGAGTTGGGGTTCCCACAGTAGTGACTGTAACTTATGGGATGTGATACCGTATCGTCCGGTAGAAATTAAATAACGTTTAGTGGGTTAAATGAGGTGTCGGCGAGGAAGGCTTCTCAAGTGCTTAATGCTAGATACTTGCTTTGCTTACTCTTTGATTCCGAAGATGGAAGCAGTACCTTCCTCCAAAATGTTGGCGAACTTCTACAGGACTATAATGCGGCCAATACACGTACGAGTCTGGCTCGTCGAGGAGCCGGGCTCGGATTAATTTCACCACACACGTATGAGCGTGGGGACCCACACACGGACGAGTTTGGCTCATTGGAACCCGAGCCGAGTCGGACTCTCGAGCCCGACTCAGACGTGTATGGCCCCCCTAAGGCGTCACGTCCCAGGAGAAGGGTTTCTTAAACTCACTTCTGTACCTGAATATATTAGTGTGTTCCATTCCACGAAACATATTCTTAACGTTAATATTTCGATTAGTATGGTTACTCGGAACGTCCCATTTTTGTTATATTCAGTACTACTACGAAATTATAATATTATGAAAATGCTTATCGTGTATTTGATATTTACTAAAATATTTTACTTATAGGCTGTGAATTGTTTTGTCCTCCATGTATATATTGCTCTTTTATTTGAGTTCACTTCTTATGCGACTGGCTCCTGTAGCTATTGATTTATCACGTTAAAACAGAGAAATTATCATTATGATTATATTTATTTATTTATTTATTTATTCACAGATATATTCATCTGGTGAATACCGACGATGGAGATGTGGTAAGTTACAAAGAGTATCTTAACCTAACATTCGTTTTAAACAACTTCGTGGCGTAGAACTGTCATCTATAACAGTTGAGTTTTGCCATAACCAGCCAATTTCAATAGATCCTCAGCCAGAATTACCCGACCAGATACAGGGGTTCTCGACGATGATAGTACAGGACAATGGATCACATTGAAATATGTTAATATTATTGCTTAGTTCTCTTAAAATGATTTCTGCAGCAAATAGTATAATAGTTAAAACTTGAACTTGAGCATATCACAATGTGGGATACATTTTTTAATTTTCTTATTTCTTCTTTTATAAAGTTCTCATCCAGCCGCATTGGAACTCCAATTAGATAGGTTTATCCCCCGAAGTAACAATAGCTCAACTTGCTCAAAACTTCATCACGCTTAATCAAACGAAATTCCCAAACAATTTTCCATAATCCACTGAAATTCTTATAAAAAGAAACAGTAATAAACTGTAAGAAACGAAATCTCTAAAGTTTGTGACCATGACATATTATTAAAATTATTGTCGTTTGGGCATTATCCATTTTCCTCCTTTGTTTAAGAAAAACGTTTCGCAGAATGGGCTCTGTCTTCGCCCTCAGGTAAAAGACTATGCAGTTGGGCCCAATCGATAGAGTTAGTTCCAGCTCCTCTCTCCGGGAAAAAAAGCAGGATGGTGGATAATGTCTAAAACGTGAACTGTGGTAACAAACGAAATTAAAAATATTGTGTCACCCGGTCATAGAAGTAGCGACGTCGTTTTGGGTTTGAGATAATATATAGACAAACATGTGAATGCGTGTAGTCATTTGTATGTATACTTTTGCATAATATTGTCGCGTGTTTGCTAGACAAGGCGACAAGAAATTGTGTGGGTTCTCGGTTTTGAACTAATATTTATTGGACAGCCACTTTTACACTCACAAGTACAATTATTATCAACTTATAACATCATTTAGACGTTTCCTCTCCAATGTTACAACGCTTCTTACATCGCTAATCTCGGCTCATTGCAATCTCTTTGTATCACTTTGTATCTCGGCTCGTTGTAATCTCTTTGTATCTCGTTGTAATCTGGTCCCAATTCCGATCTGGTCTTCCCTTTTACCCTACCGTCGGACGGACTAGAAGACATCTTGTTCAGGGGTTCCATTTCACATGTTTAATCAGCTTAATAATATTTCATGAATTATGTTAATTACGAAGCTCCTTACTGTGTAATTTTCTCAACCCTCCTATTACTCTCGCTCGTTAACATTAACCTCGGGACCCTTCCTGTTGTACCAGGCCGTGGAGGCCCATAAGGTTGTGAGACGTCGAGACCCCCACATTTTCTCTAGAAAATCGGCTCACAGATGGCGGTAAAATTGTCAGCCTTACGCGCCGGCCGCTCTTTATCACCAGGAAGATTCCTGGTACTCATTACTGTTAGAGGCTGAGTCGATCCCAGGGCCATAGTGCTGCTGGAAGGATTAGGTAAATTGAAAAATTCTCATCGGGACTCGAAACTGCTACCTTCCATCTTGTAACATAGTGCCTGAACCAACTACGCTACCGCGTGCCCCCACTCTTCCTGTTGCTCAACCTAATAATTGAAACATGTAAATTATGAAGCTCCTTACTATGTAATTTTCTCAATCCTATTATTACTCTGTCTCGTTAACATTAACCTCGGAATCCTTCCTGTTGATCAACCTAATAATGTTTATTGAAGCATGTAAATTATGCTCCCCACTGTGTAATTTTCTCCATCCTGCTAATACTTCCTCTCTATTAGGTTTAAGTTTTTTCTAAGATGCCCTCATTCCAAGGTATTCCCCAAGGATGGCAGATCAGGTGTTTCAGACCCGTATGAGATGAAATATGTCATTTTTTTATTGCTAGTGGGGTGCGACTAAGTCCCTTGTACTGCGGCCACTTCTGGCCTATTGTACCAGCCCCAGATGATAGGTGAGGGTGATTGTGGAGCAATTGGTGGAATGAAGATTGGCAGGGGAAACCGAAGTACTCGGAGAAAACCTGCACCAGCGCCACTTTGTCCACCAGAAATCCCACTTGACCAGACCCGGGATCGAACCCGGGCCGCCGCGGTGGGAAGCCAGAGACTAACCGCTTGAGCTATGGCGCGGCCAAATATGTCATAACGGAACAGCGTTATTCGAATTACAGTCTGGCTAGCTATTTTAAGACCCGAATGTAAGACGTTTGAGCTAATCATGTTGTTTGGTGATATGAAGGCAGGCCTCTTGTTATGGTCGCCCGCGGTTTATTTCCGTAAGCTGGAGTGGGAAAACAGTCTGAAGTCACATCTCACGTAATGCAGCTGTCACTTAGCATCATTTAGACTTGGCTGTTCTTATCTTGTTAGTCCCAATTATGCAAGAGTGAATCAAGACAATTATTGTAAGACGGTCAACTCAACTGAAATATAATTCTTGAGGCAGAGAGAGGTTGGGATAAAGTGAGCATTTATCTCAAAATAAAGTTAGCATCACCAGTGCTGACCTTACCTTTATGTGATGTATTGTGACTTTAAAAACGAAGATCACACGACCGAGTCATTCCTATACAACGATTGAATATACTATGGAAGAGAACACACTACTAGAAATTGCGTTAGTTCGTAATTAGTTTATGCATAAATTTTAAGTTTTCAAACAAATATCATTTGCTAAAAAAAATACTTCAACACATCATACCAAATTAACAGTTAATTATGGTAGTGGAATTTTAATTTTAATCGAAAAGAACGCCAGAAATTATAGATAACACAAAGGCGTTTTTAAGATCGCTACGGGGGTTTACTAATTGTGACCAAAATCCACGAAACATGTCGCATAAGCAAGAGTATGTGCACAGTTATCGAAATCGTAGCAGTTGTGTTTGACAAAACCCCGTTCACTAATATGCTATCTGTCTATGGCTCTACAGCCCGTTGTTAGGCATTGGTTTTTTTTTTTCATTTTCTTGATATTTTACACAGTCGGTAGGACTCCTTGGACGGGGGTTCAGCCCGTCACAAGAGCACTAATATGCCAGTATTCCCTAAATTAAGTCACGAAAGAAATGCAGACATCAGAGAAAGACTGAATTACTGCTATAAATTGAAGAAACACAGAGATAACACGAAAATTATAAAGTACGTTTGCAAATAATGGAAAGAAATCACCAGCGAGAACAGGAATGCCGTTGTTGGAGTCGAGGTACTCACGTCGGTAGTTATGAACGGTACTATCTTCTGGGATATACCGCCGTGCAGTCCATTCAGTGGGCTACTCTTCAGGAATTCTGTTACTGATGAAGCAATCGACGACCAAAAAGTCGATAAAGAGACCAAGGCTTCTCGGGTTCGTAGAAATACACTTTAACGACAAAACCCTACAAATTTCATGATTAAGATGAATAGGATTTCTTGCTGGCGTGTTGACACTCAGTGTATCCAGCGCCGTTCAGGCGGCATCAAAGTCCTTCATCAGTTGACCTGTCATTCCACAGTCCCACAAAGCATGCGACCTATCGCCTGCTTTCCAGACACTAAAGTTTAAGTGGATTCCAAAGGGTTCTGACGATGGTGGATGACATACAGAATTACTGGGTTTTTGGACTTCTTCCATCGTCCGGAAATCTAGGTAATAGAGGACACAACGTTTCGGAAACAGATTCAGTTTCCGAAACGTCGTGTCCTCGTAGATTTCCGGACTATGGAAAAAGTATAAAAACCTAGTAGCTAAAGTGTAACTTATTTCTAAAGGATTCTGTTGATGGTGTATCACACTTTGGCAATCTTCAAGCATCTGAAAGAACATAGCATTTCGGGAATTGTGTCTATTTGCACCCTCAGATGAATGTATGGGGCAAGACACCTTCTCTTGGGTCCGTTAGGAAGTTATAATCTCAGTCACTCCTTTGGCAAAACCCGATTCTAGATATAAGTGACTGACGTAAGTTGTCCGGTGGTTGAGATGACGCTTTCTAACGGACGTGCGTCCAAAAAATTTCACCTGAGGACGGCAACAGATCCATTTTCCGGCAGATTGTGTTGTTTCGGAATGCTAGACTATGGACAGAGTCCAGAAACTCAACAATCTTAACTAAATATTAAGTGTATATAACAATTTGGTAATTGCTGTATTCCATAGTCTTTTGCCTTGATGGAGAAATAGGCGTTAGAGTCATTTGAAAACAAAGTCTTAAGGGGAATAGCCATATATAGACTTCGTCATTTATACAGCTCATAAGGAATGTGGTAGTTAATTGCAGAGTTTTCTGTTGTTTCGAATATGCAGTGTTGACGAGGGAAATAAGAAATGTGTGTAGAAATTTTGTGGAGCTTTCTAAAAAGAAATATCACTTCATTTATGACAATTGAAGAATTACGTAAAAAATTATCTTATGAAGAAAGAATGTAGTGATATGACTGGCTAGAACTGGCTCAGTATCGGATATGGAAGCTGGTTTTTTTATTAGTAATATTGAAAACTGAGGTTATGTTGCTCGTACCGGAGAATGGTTAAAGCATGATTATTTATTTGGAAATCCGTGACGGGTAAATTATATTTCTTGGTAACAAAGAAAGTGGGTGGAAAAATATCTGACTCAGTGGTGTACACATATTTTTCGAACATATTAATTGTTTTCACTTATGTAAATGAAATTGGTACTTTCCAAGAAGATTGAACAGATGAAACATTATATGAAGATGATGATCATAATGTAAATGGAATTGATCTTCTTCTACTGTTGTAGACAGACAGAAATTATTTTCCTTGGCTTTTGCTTAATATTCACGGGATCGATAAATATTTCAAATAGAAATCTTTCTTAGTACGGAGATCAAGACATAATTGTCTGATGATGAACCCTTTATTACAGATCCATTTAAATTATGTGAGATTTGATGTTTTGACTGCAGCAGCTATGGAGGGACCGTCTTCTGGGACATGACATTGTCTAGTCTGTTGGGTGTTTACCGACGT